TGGAAAGAAGAAAAAGGTAAATCCACAGAATGGAAAGTGTCCCAAGAGAAGGGGATGGCTCTGAAGCTAACTGAGGTTTGACAGCTCCGGTCTCATTTCCATGGGGGGTGTGAGGAAAGACAACGTGCGCTCCGCCCAAAGCCAGGGATATTCATGGCGTGGCAGAAAAATTTCCAGCAAGAAAATATTATAAGCTCGTGCTGTCTTTCAAAAATGCTTCGGCTGTTTTAAAAGCGAGCCTGCATCCCCGACAGCAGGAGGATGTGGAGTTCCCAAGCCCTCCTCTTGCCACCTTGCCGGGACGGCTCCAGAGCTCCTACTGTGCTCAGCCAGCAATCGCGCCCTTACATCCCACGTTCAAGCGTTTGCTCTCAGGCTTTCTTGAGCGTGGATTACTTTAAGCGGGTGTTTAACACCACCGCTGAGACCCTGAACCGGCCAGCGGGCTGCTGTCCCCACTCTGCTGCTTTCTCAGATGGGGGAGGAAGGAAAAATCAAAATTAAATCTGGCTCCTTGCCAAAGGGGAACAAAAAAGTTGGTTTTCCCCTGAAAGAATGGGATGCATTCCTGGCTAGCAGGGCTGCATCCTCACATAGGCCGTCGCTCGAGCTGCTCCGCCCTGCGGCACCGCTGGCACTCAGGGACGACAGATCCATTGCTGGGCTGAACCCCAGGCTGCACCTGACAGCCGCCCATGCCAGAGGCTTCCCTCTGCCCCTCCACAGCCAGGCTGGCACAGCCAGGGGCAGCTCCAGACCTGGCCCTCCTGCCCTGCACCGTTCCCGCCGCAGCCCCCTCCAGCCCTATTGCTTCCCACAAAGCGGTTCCGGTTTCCCTTTCATCCCACTTTTCCGGACCCCTTGTCATGCCATGTGCCCTCCATCGGTGATTGCCCACCCTCCCCTGCTGGCAGTGCCCGCTCAGCCCCACACCAGAATCCGACCTTGCTGGCCATGAGAAGTCCCTTCCTCACCAGCAGAACCTTTCCTCTCCCTGCCATCCCGATATCCACATCCCAGCATATTCCAGCAAGCCACAGGGCTCGCCTAGCCCAGCGGCCCGGGCTCCTCTTCTTGCCAGTATTCCCTGCTGCAGAGCCGCAAGCTCGGCTCCATTTTCTGTCTCCATCCATTTCCTTCAGCTTCCTCGGTCGGCAACGCGCTGCTGCCCTCCCGCTCCCTGGTGGCTCTCAAGTCCCATCTCTGCCACAATGGCACAAGGACCCCAGGCAGCGCCGTGTCCCCCTGGGGAGTGCTGGCAGCCCCCTGCCCAGCTCCTTCCTGAGCCTCCTTGCCTTCCCCTGACGGCCACGGGGAGGAATTCAGCCTGCAGCTCACGTAACGAGGCAGCGACCCCCAGCCACAGCCAGTGCCAGCAGCGCTGGCCACAGCGCTCGGCATCTCACGGGGCGAGGGTACAGGCTGCTGCGGACAGGCAGGAGCGGACAGCTTGAGCCCAGCCAGCTCCCCCTGCGTGGGGACATCAGCCACCGCCTGCTTAATCCGCCATCGAGAGAAATTCAATAAGCCGCTCTCCGCCTTTTGCTGGGAGCAGGCCAGCGCCATGGCCACAGCTCCCTGCTCCCTCCCTACCTCCTCCCGGGGCTGCCCCACGCACAAGGGAGATGACAGGGGGGACAGCAGAGTCCCTGGGGCCATGGCACCAGGGGGAACGTCTGGACCTGTCGCCCGACTCTGCAGGGCATCCCTTCCCCCCCGGCCTGCTGCGCTCTGCCCATCCCTACTGGCACACCCACCAGCCCTCGGCAATGAGAGAAAGGCCTAGAGAGCGATGATTAACTGGATCAGCTAAGATTAATTGGGCAGAGATCAGCTAACGAGAGCTCTCTTAAGTCAAGGGGCTACCGACCGGCAGGCCCCCCTCCACCGCCCCGGGGGGGTTTTGTGGGGGGTGTTGTCCCCAGGCACCACCCGCAGCGGCCTCTTCCCCTAAGGATGCTGCAGGGACTCGCTGCGCTGCAGGACACCAGGCGCCGAGCAACGCTGACACTCGTCAGCACAGCCGGGCTGCCCCCAGCGCAGGGCTGGGGCTGCCTCGCCGGGGGCTGCTCCGGCAGATGAAGCGCTGCCTCGCAGCGAGGGAAATCCAAGGCGAGTTTCTCCTTTTGTCTGCACACGTACCCACGTCACCTCGGCGTCTGCCCTCGCCTCCTGAGCCACCGTGCTCTCAGCCGCCGATGGGCTTTGTTTTAATGAGCCCTTCCCCTGCACCCCTCAGTGGGGCTCTCCAGCTCCGTCTGGGGCCGTAGGACCCTGCCCTCCCTCTGGGGACAGCAGGGGACCCTGGAGGCAGCTGGCCCGCATGACACAGCATCATCGGCGCCTGCCAGCTGAGCCCGACAGCGGCTCCCCGCTCACCTCTGGCCCCACGCAGGACAAGGGGCCGTGACGGTGCAGTTTTCCCCGGAGCAGCACGCACAGGCAGGGAAGTGGCTCGGAGGACAGCCCAGGGCAGGGGCAGGTGCCACCCTATCCCCACCTGAAACCCAGCCCCCTGCTTCCCCCGGTGCCATCGTGGGCACCCTGCCCGGTGCCTCCCACCTGCCCCAGTGGGGGATGCAGCTTCAGGACAGAGCTCGCAGCTCCCTGACAATTTCAACACCGATTAAATTTGCAGGTAGCAAATTTAAGGCCACGGACGAGGGGGCTTGCTTGTCGCCGGCCAGCTCCCTATCCCTGCCGCGAAGGCAAGTCATGTTGCTCTCCGTCGCCCATTCCCTCCATCCTCTCCTCTGCGTGCTAAAACCCACAGCAGGGAAAAGCCGCACGGAAAAGGCAGCAAGCTCTGGCGGGTTCCCAGCACGGCTGGGCACGGAGAGGGGTGGGCAGCCGGGGGTGGAAGGGGAATGCCAGGCCCTGACGCCCCCCGTGTTTAGGGACTGCAGCTCTGGCCACATGCAGGAAGGCGGGGG